CCCCCCACCCCAACACCCACACCCACACACACCCACACACACACACACACACACACACACACACACACACACACACACACACACACACACACACGTTGGTCATAGAGCACAGAATGAAATCAGGGCACCTGAATTCCAAGCTAATGTTCTAATCACTACACCACTTTTCTTCTTAACAAGTGATGTGTCCTCTAATTTAATAAAATGCTTCATTCAGTGCTCCCCCTTTTCTATTTCTAATTTTTTTTTCAGGTAAACCTCACTCTTTAGAGGCCAGGTGAGGGTACAAGGAGAAAAGATTTCTGCCTTCCAATTTGTGGCCCTTTCCTATAAATCCCATGCTTAAATTATGCAAAGAACAGGTTTTCTTAATATTTTTGTAAATAGAATTGCTTTTAATTTGCATCCAATGACACAGACCAGACTGAACACTTTGAATTACAGCTTTCAGTCTATCTGGTATTACATAAAACAGGGACAGATGGACTGCGTACTTCCCTACCCTAATTAACTTTATTCACTCTAACTTGCACAATAGGAACATCTAGTGATAAGAGATATTCTGCCTCCTTCCATGACATGGCCAGTGCTTAAATAATGGTGGCACTGGAACAAGAACATAACCGTACACTAAAAAAATACTGTATTAACTTGAATCAAAGATGACCCTGAATTTAAGATGACCCACCTCCCCAGCAATTAGATTCTATACATGAAAAAATATATAAATTTGGTATAATTTTCACATATAGAATCTAATTGTTGGAGGGTTATCTTTAATTAAACTGCCCGCACAACTGCAGGGAGGCAGGAAGTTGATCCCCTCCTCCCCTTGTATTTGATTCTAAGATGAGGGGTTTCCCTCTCCCCACCCCCCATTTTAAACGATGAGTAAATATGGTAGATCAAAATTGCTAGTTAATTTTGTCATGATACATAGGTAACGGATTACAAGTAGTAGGGCATTATTTATTCAGGTTAGATTTAAGAAAGGGTTGAATAGAAGAGTTCCCGAGACACCTTGCTGGGGTCGTTTGACCCCAGTACTCTTTCCTGCCATGGCAGGGGGTCAGACTAGATGATCTACTCAGGTGCCTTCTGACCCTAGAAACTATGAAACTATGAAACTATCTCTGACTACTACAAAGTATCTGGGCTAGCAATAACAGAAAGTAGTCATATGAAAATGGTATCTTTAACAACTTGGAGTACAACCAAATTAACTGATCAACCAAAACTTCCTATGTAGAGTTTGGTGGAAAAAGTTTAGTAGTTAGTCCTACAAACAATCAAATGCCCAACATTGTAGAATGATACAATGTGGTTTTAAGAGGCATTGTGAAATACTCAGACCTCACGCTATCTGCAGATATCTGAAGTCTGCCTTCTAATAAATCTCAGTTTCTTATTGTCAGAACTTTGTGAGCTTGCATAATTATTTTAAATCTCAATGAAGAAGTGATTTTGGTATTCCTGGATACTTATTGTAGAAATATTATTTTAATAAGGATTGGGGATATTCTGCTCTGATCCAAATATACCATAACTCTGGGGATATCTAGTCTAACTGCAGCAGTTGGGGAAAGTTTGATGTTTGTGTGGTGAGCCAAGAGGCTATATATTTACCTAAAGTCCACATAGCAATAAACTCCTTAGGAAGATAAGGAAATGAATGTGTAATCCTTAATCATTATTACCTTGCTGTACTGTATTAAAATATGTAATAATTAATACAAAACATTTAGGTGTTTTTGACATTTATATCGAAAGGCCCCATGGTACCTTAACAAAGACTAACTTAAAGGAGGTGGGGGAAATCTGTATGCTCCACAGTAGTGGTGCTCAACCTTCTGTCCCCATGGGTTGATGAATGGTCTATGGGTGTAATCCAGAACATTAGTTTTACTCTGCACTTCTGGATGTGACCACATGCTGGCTTGCCCTTGTGCACCTCTATCTGGCCACCCTGGTGCATACAGCCATGTTATCTATCCCACAGGGCTTCTCATGGGTCCAGAAATTTGGCAGCAGGGAATTGGCAATTAATCCTACCACCAATCCCCCCACCAAATTTCTAGATGACTGGGAAGTTCCATGGGTTGGATGACACAGCTCTGAAGGCTACATCTGGCCTGGGGGTTGAGTACCCCTGCTTTACAGAGTTGCCATAATTTAATATTACTTCTAATACTTTTAAAGAATAAGACCCAGAGTTAACCAAGAAAGATCCTTTTATACCAAACCATCTTCAAATTAAATTGGTGATTGGCACAGTTTTGGGAGCTTTTTTCCCTTAAAGGTGCAATTCTGCCATCTTTGCTCCTAAATAATAGTTACTGATAAGGTCCAATAAAATTTAAAGTATTTTGTTTGTTAACAAAGAAACTATCTTGAAATCTAGGGCAGAGGTCCCCAACCACTGGGCCACAGCTGCAGCCACAAAGGGTTGGCTGCCAGGTTGTGGCATAAGCCCCCTGCTCAGACCTCTGTCTGTCCACCTGGGTGAGTGGCTTCCACCACTGGCAGTCATGTGTGGGGTTAAAGCTGAGCGACAGGGTAGCCCCAGGAGGGAGGCAGCCAGCTCCGTGCACCCCGTCCCACTCCTGTGCCAGTCCACAGTATAAACAAGGCTGGGAATCACTGATCTGGGGTCTTGACTTTCAGGGGCTTGAGCACCCAGCATTGTAGCTGAAATTATCAGTAACTGCAAATATTCAGCATCCCTGGAAATCAGGCCCCTTGCATTTAGAGAAACCCACAGGCTCTGAAATTCTTGAAGGATAATGTTAATGGGCACCTATACATGTGCAGCAAGGCTGCTCTGACACGCTGGAATTACAGCATGTTGGAGCAGACTCCAGCGTCTCATGTATCAACATCACTGAGATGAAAAATGGCAGTGGGGGCACTTTGAATAAAGCTCGTTTGACAAGCTTTAGTTAAAGCACCTCTGTCACTATTTCTCAGTGCGGGGATGCTGATACATGAGAAGCTCCAGGCGCTTTGATTACAGCGCCTTCTCCTCTGCCTCTGCTCCACTCCTGGAGTACAGGTATAAATGCCCAATGAGCCTAATTTGGCAGAGGAAAGGTATATGGCAGAGAAAAGAAGCAGAGAAGAGTAAGTATCCCCTAGTGTAGGGATGGTCAATTATTTGGGCCCAAGGGCCACATAGGGAGTTTTGAAGAACTGTCATGGGCTGAGATCCATTGCCTGTATGCCCTGCCCTGTGGGCAGGGGGTGCATAGGGTGTATGGAGGGAGCATGTGCATGTGTGTGAGGGGGCTGCCTGGGAGCCAGCCAGCGGTAAAGGGAGGGAGGAAAGGTTGGGGGTGCATGCAGCAGAGGTCTCCCAGTCTCTGGCTGCCCCTCTGGTGCTCCACATGGGACAAACCCTGCTTGGGGCAGCTTGTGCCATGCTCTTGCCCACACCTGCTGGTGCTGGCTCCAGCCCAGGCCCCAGCCAGTGTGCAACTTCTTCTGGCACGGCTATTCCCAATGTGGCTATAGCCAGCTGGGTACTGCTCTGCTCCTCTTGCCTGCAGCTGTGGCTGCTGATCCTGCTCCTGTCCCTGCTGTGCCACTCTAGGCAGACAAGGAGAAGCTTCAGCCAGGCAGCTTCTGCTCCAGCACGTGGAGCTCCAGCTCCAGCTCCCAGCTGCCTTCCATCCACTCTGCCCACCCAACACAATGAGCAGCCGTTTGTGGGTGGGTGAAACGGGTGGCAAGAGGCTGGGAGCCAGAGCCAAAGCCCCACGCACTGGGGTAGGAGCCAACTGCCTGAAGTTTCCTCCCTGCCCGCCCACCCAGAGTGGGGCAGCAGGGGCAGGAACAGAAGCAGGAGCAAGAACAGGAGCAGAAGTTGTGGCTGGAGGCGAGGAGAGCAGAACAGCCCCACCAGCTTGCACAGCTTCCAGCAGGGCTGTTCCCCCTGTGGCTGCTGCTCTGCTCCCCTTCCCTCCTTCGCCCACCCCTGCCCCTGCTGTGCCACTCCAGGCGGGCAGCTGGGTAGCTCCTGCTGGAGGTAAGGGGAGCAGGAACACACTGCGGGCTACCCTGGAGGGAGCAGGTGGGACTCGGCCCCAAGTGGAGCACTGTGGGCTGGATAGTCAGCTGGCAGGTCAAATCCAGCCCACAAACCATGTTTTGCCTAGCTATGCCCTAGTATATTCTGTTACCCTGATACCAGGTTAAAAACTTACCCTTTTCAGTGGAGGAACTTCACTAAAGAAAAGGCAGGGCTCTTCCAGTTTTATCCTCATCCATAGCTTGTTTGGCACAGGCTATAAATAGTGGCTTGGAATCCTCTCTTATTAGACAACCAGTTCATCAGGTGCGAGTCAGCATTCTTTTAAGGCTTCTGGGGCTATTGCATTCATTTACGATACCGTCTGATGTATGTCTGGTCTATGAATTTAGAAAACAGTAGAAAAAATATCTTAACCAAAATAAGTGTTTTTCTTATAGTCTGTTAAGGTTTAGGGCTGTCACTGGTTGTCATACAATGCAACCCATTTCGAGTACAATGCTTAAAGGAAAGGAAATTTAGGTATCAAAGCATGGATTTTAAGTGCTTCAATGTAGGTACCCAAATTTGAATATGCATTGGCTTAAATGTAGGAAGGGAAGATTCCAAGCTGTGCTACAAACAGCAAAAGCAAAACTCTACTGAGAAAATGTAAATATTGGGGAAGCCAAGTAATGTCACAACTACTTTAGACTGAACAATAGACATTTGTTTGGTGTGATGTTTGGTAGCCAGTAGTTGCAAAAATGAATAGACTTTATTACAGTTAATGATTTATTGCTTATCAACGGGTAGAGAATTTAATGGTGGGATTAGTCAGTTTAATGATTGAACTGCAATGTCTTAGCAGAGAATGCTGCACCTCCAATGCAATATATATTTTTTTGTAGCCTGCGTGTATTTAAGAGGGGCTAGATTTCATGAGGCATTGACAGTGAAGAACACCTTGGATAAGTGGTAAGTAATGTTCTGAGTTTTTGGCTTGTGGTATTCATTCATTTGTATCTGGTGTTTCATTTTAGGAAATGTAAGGATGGTATTAAGATTAAAAACCTTTTACCCCCTGGTGAGTTAAAAATGTTTCTTTTTATATAGGAAAAACTATCTTATGAAATTCTAAATTGAATGAGCTCTCAGCACCCATGGGACATCAACTCCTGTGCAAACAATACTGAACTCTGCTATTTTTATGTAGTCTGTCTCTCCTTTAACTAATGTACATGTCTATATGAACTCATATTTTCCCTCTGGATTGGAAGTCATGGCTTTTTGTTACATGGGGGAAAACAAAAAAAACCTTGAAGATAGTAAGAAAGAAAATGTGGTCTGGACAGTACTAAAATATCTTCTCTCACAATAAAATTCAGATAAATAAATTGATTTGACTGATTTTGAGACATAAAAACAAAAATCTCTTTCATACTATTTACTAACTGCTTCTGAAAATGTTTCCTTTTTGAAGCTGTATGTTTATTTGTGTTGTGTTGATACTAGAATTTGCATACTGGCACATACTGTAGAAGTATGCAATGCCAAATTAAACATTTTTGTCCTGATTCAAACAGGGATAGTTAATAGTAGAGATTGGAATTTTTTTACTAAAAGTCCATTCACCCCTTTCCCTCCCCCTGCTCCCCCTGCCACTGGAAAGCACTAATTAGTCAAAATTTGAAATTTTCCACAAGAATTTATCAATAAAAATTTAATTGGGAAAGTTTCTCAGAACTTCTGGTCAGAGGAAGAGACTCAGAAATAGTCTAATGGCAGGCAAGGTTCTTTGAGTAGAAGTGATATCTTTTATTAGACCAACTGAGAAGTTAGAAAACAGTTCTTAGCAAGCTTTCGGGAGCTATCACCCTTCTTTAGGCATAGGGAGTCTCTGCTGTTCTGAGACTCCAAGGAATAAGGGTCTAATGGTTATGGATTCAACTGGCATGAAGGAGAGACCCAAATTCAAGTCCCTGGTCTAAAGCAGGTGTAGCAGCAGTTAACATGTGCCAGTGGAGTACCCTAACCACCAAGCTATTGTTTAGGTTGAGAAGGGTGTTTCTCTTGTTCTTTTTGGAAAAAGCTTTTTAAAGTCTTAATTTTGTTCTGACATAGACACATTCCAAATTTTTGCACACAAGGGATTACAATTATTTTTGATATTCAAAACAATGGCATACAAGCTAAATAGGACTTAAAGCATCAGAAGAGTTGTTAGTACATAACACTGCATTGCTAGGTAATGGGACTAACACCTGTAATAGGCTGGAGACTGACTTCAAAGGAGGTTTCATCTGATTTCAGGCACCTACCCTAGACAGCACAGGAGACGTTTGCATGGTTTCTGTCTGTGCTGTACATTTTGTATTGGATCCTGTTGAATAGATACTTAGAACTATTAATTTAACCCCCTTCATAAGCATGGAATTATACTAATGAAGAAACAAAATCAACATCCAGTTGTCACTGTTTGGAGCACTGCATGCACGATGAGAGCTAACTTAACCAAAATTTAGAATGAGGTGGAGTGGGGGCTCTAGCAATCTTTGCATTTGATCAGGATACCAGGGGGGTGGGCTCTACTTTTGGATCTGCTTTATTGAAACAAATATTTTTTTTTCTGAATTCTTGTCATGAGTAAGTATATTTTTTGTAGAGAGGATGGTAGGGAGAGAATTCTCTGGGAGACTGTATTTTTCATTTCCACTAAAAATTTACTGGTATTTAGTGAGGTTTTCTTTGAGGACACATTGTACTTTTGAAAGCGCACACAGTTGGAGCCAACAGGTGCCTAAATTCCACCTAAGCCCCATTTTAGGTCCCTAAGTCCAAGTCCAAGTCTTGAACACCAGCGCTTGCATTGCTGCTTAATACTGCAGGCTCCTAAGTTTGTGGATGCTTTAGTTCATGACCTTAAAGTTCTTAAGGCACCTAAAAAACTGTTTCTACCTCAGTTTTGACAAGGTTTGACAGCTCACCTAGCTCCTGCTGAAGACCACTCAAGAGTCTCTGTCAGTCTCTGATCCAGAAGGCATTTTCTGAAGATACCTGCTAGATCATGCTTCCTTCAAAATGCATGGGGGATTTTAAATAATGAAGATAATGCCCACTCACTTTTTGTATGATGGCTGAGTGCTTAGAGCATTCACTCAGTTGAGCCACCCAGATTCGCTTCCTTTTTGCCCAAGGGGATTCCAGCCCACATCTCCCAGGAGAGTACCCTAAACACCAGACCATGATCTATTCTGGGGTGAGGAAACACTCCACTTTGCAGAAAAGAATGAATGATTCTTTGTGCATCTGTGTATGTGAGGGGAATGCTGCAAAAAATGAGCATGATTCAGTATCCCAGTGGTTAGGGTACTTTCTCTTGTGTGGGCAGATTTCTGAGTTCCAGTTCCTGCTCCAAGGGCTGTTCGTTATCTTTATCTTTGTCCAAGGGCTGTTTTACTGTAGGTGTCCCATGTCTTGGATGCATGCTTGAAAAAAGGGGCGCTACAACTTCTTTAGGAAGAAAAGCTCCTCCCCTATTTGCTTTTTGAAAGAAAGGGCTTTTAGACATTGACCTTTAGAAAAGGGTCCTACGCTGTGAATTCTGAGTAAAGAGAGGCCCCACTCACCAGCTCAGAGCAAGTCGCCTAAGCTGCTGGAGAGCTATGGGATCTCAGATGCATTTCTCTTCTCAGTCTTTCCCTGTTACCAAGTGTGCATGGTTCACAGCTCTTTGTGTTGTTCAGTGCAGATCCTATTCTAAAGCACTGATCCACACCCCCAGGCACTGTTGAGGGAGCTATTCCTAATTCAAGGTTTTGGCCATCAACAGTTTGGGGGTTGGGGTCTAAGAGCTGGGTATTAAAATTCTCAGTGTTGCAGAGACTAAGGATGCTGACAAACATTCATTTACAGGCATGATGGGATCTGATTCCTGATCCCAACAATCACATTTCTGCCATGTCACATGTGCATGGCAGGATACGCAATTTGGAGATCAGAAATCAGATCCAATTGTTCCTGACTGGCCGGTACAGGGGGAGCCTGGGATCATAATCCCATGCCAGCAAGTTGAAAGCTGGGTGACCAAACAGTTGATTGTCAGCTGGCTCCTCAACTGCACCAGTGTTTGAACAGGCCCTGGTGCAGTCCCCACACCCAGCTGACAATCAGCTGATGGTTGGCTGGCAGGCACCACAGCAGGACCAGTTTGACTCCTTGTGTGGTCCTAACCCTACCACACATTCAATTTAAGGCAAGATGGATTACCCACAAAAATATTACTTTTTGTGTAATATTTTTGTGGATGGTATCCCTTTTGTGTTACTATTTAATCCCCTACACTTTAGTCTGGGTTAGTATTTAAGTGTAATGTCTTCCATGGGCCTAAATGATCCAACACACAGGACATTCATATACATACTCTGGGAGGTGGGGGGAGGGGGACACACACACTTTAATTAGAGTGGCTCTGGCAGCCAGTATAATTAAAGCACCCAGAGCTTCATGTGTATTGGCATCCCCACGCTGAAAAACAGCAGTGGGGGCACTTTAGCTAAAGTTCGTTGAATGAGTTTTAGTTGAAGCACCCCCACCACCATTTTCAGTGCAGGGACACTGATAATGTGACACTGGAGTCAATCTGGAGTCCAGCAGATTCAATTAATTGAGTCTGCTCTGACACATTGTAATTATAGTGCACTGGAACAACCTCAAAGTACAAGTTCCCACAAATTACAGAATTGTGAATATCATTTCAAGTGCTTTTTTCCCCCCTTTTCCCCCCCTGCTGGAACACCTCGAGGTTGTCTCCTACAAAGTGAGTGAATGCCAATACTGCATGCCATCATCTAGTCTTTTCTTCTTCTGAAAAGCAGAAGCATTTCAGCTGTGATAAAACAGCTATATTTGTTTTATCACACTATCTGCTGTAACATCAGTTCTGGATGGCAGACCACTCTCTAGTGAACCAGCTTTCCTTGACTGCCATGTTCTCTACTCTTTGGGCACCAAACTTATCTTGACATGGCAGTTTTAGAAGCAAAGTACTTCTGCTGCATGTTGTCAAAAGTAAAGGTAATTTTTGCCAGTATTTTTAAAATAGGTGTGTCACTTCTCTTCCCTTCACCATGATAGGCATGACACCACCAAATGGGTCACTGACAGACTGGAAATGAAAATGTAGAATGAGAGCTCCTTGTGTACCAGTTAAAAAAAGGAAAGTGAAATCATGCTGAAGTCAGAAATTATTATGGGGAAGCAAGAGAAGAGAAGACATGCACAGTGATGGGATGGGCATGAAAAGAGTATGATTATAGAACAAGGGAAAGTGAGGTGGGCTGCCAACTTGGAGATGTATCTATTGCAGGGGTAGGCAAAATGCAGTCAATGGGACAGATCTGGCCCGGGGAAGAGCTTTGTCCGGCCTGCAGAGGGTCCCTTGGTCTCACCTGGCCCAGGCACCATCCGGCTATGGTGCATCCTGCCACTCCTGGGCACGTAGGAGGGCTGGGGTGGCTCCACAGCTGGACTGCCTTTCTAGACAGCCCAGGTGGTGGCAGCTTCTTCTGGGTACTGCTGCCGCTGGCCCCACCCCCACAGTACTGGCAGGGACCTGCGCGTGCAGCCCCGACCCAGTGCACCCTGTGCCTTCTCTGGACTCGGCCATCCAGGCTGAGTAGCAGCTGTCAGCTGCCAGGCAGAAACTGTTGCTCAACGTGAAGGAAAAGTGGCTCCTCCCCTTCACCACTGTTGAACAGTTCTTGCTGTAGATGCCAAGAGCCTATGTCACACCAGGCTGCCTTGTGTCTCCACTGCCATCACAGCCACCTCTGAATTGTCCAGCAGTGCAGCAGTGCCAGCACAAAGCAGTTGCAGGGCAGCCCAGAAGCGGCAGTGATGGCAGTGGAGATGCAGGGCAGCCTGGCACAGTGCAGGCTCCAGGAGGCTTCAGCAAGAACTACCCAGCAGCAGCAAGGGGAAGGGGCCGCTTTTTCCCCCGCACCGAGCAACAGTTTCTACCCAGCAGCTGCTGCTGCTGCTGCTGCTCCTCCTCAGCCTGGATGGGCGAGTCTGGAGCAGGCCAGGGGTGCACTGAGTCAGGGCTGCATGCATGGATCTCCACCAGTACAGCGGGGATGGAGCCAGTGGCAGCAGCAGCTGGAAGGAGCCACTGCAGCCTGGGCTGCCTAGAAAGGCAGTGCAGCTGTGGAGCTGCCCCAGCCCCTCTGTATGCCCAGGGAACAGCAGGACAAGCCATGGCCAGTTGGTGTTGAGCAGGTGTGGGGCTGGGCTGGGGCTGTGCACTGTTGGCAGTGGGGGGGAAAGGCTGCACAGTGTGCAGGCTGGGGGCCATTGTGGAGCAGAAGCAGGTGCTGACTGTCTCAGGGGTGTGCACTTGGGGGGCTTCCATGCACACCTCACCATACCCTCAAACCCTCCCCTGCAAACCTCACAACCACACCCTCTTATACACACATTCACACATCCCACAAACACTGCATCCACCCACACCCTCCTTCACATCTCCCAACAAAACCTCCACCCCCACTACTCAATCCAACATGCCCCTGGGGGGAGCCCCATTCAATGCTGCATGTACACACCCCACCACTTACAAGCACCCACACATACACACCCAGCCACCCTCCCCCTCCACACACCTTATATCCACCCACAAACCCCATACCCACCCACATACACACCCACACAACCCCACAAACCCTCTATACCCACCCACACCCCACATACACACACATCCACACCCCACCACATCCCCTCACAAACTCTATACCCATCCACACCCACACCTACCCACACCCATCCATACCCCCCACGCCCTTCCCCCCACAATATACAAGAATAAGACTTCATTTTGGGCTACTATGCAATCATTTCTATATACACAATGAAAATACACACAAATCAGAACAAACATTTTTTTTTAATAAAATGTAAAATGTTATTGTGGATGTTTGATTTTTAGTATATAATTTTGAGGGCTTTTTTCTGGTTCCAAGACTGCAAACCGCCTTCCCCAAAAGAGTATTTCCAAGGGTAAGGGGAGGGACTTCCAGTGGCAAAGGTCAGGGGTTGGGGGCGGGACTTTCGGTCCCAGTGGTGCGGGGTGCTTGTCAAGGGTGAGGCCACCCTTGTGGGCCTCGACAGCTCACCAAAGCTCATTAAGTGGCCCTGCAGCCAAAATAAGTGCCCACCCCAATCTATTAGGACCTTTTGCTCCAGCATTAATTTGTTTTGGAAGAAGTTCAGTGATTCACAGTCTGCTTGAACTCTGCCTCTATTAGTGATCTGATTTAAAAGCATTAAAGTTACTACATTTTATAAGCAAAGGGATCAGCCTAAGGCATTGGTTCTCAACCTCATTAGGCACACCCTCAGAACTAGCTATCTCTTAGCTTTAATTCCTTTTTTTATTTATTATATAAAAATAATAGAACAATTCTTTTCTTGAGTTAGAAGATAGCAGGGAAAGGAGAGATTCATAGTTATACCCAGATATAACTATGAACTTCTCTCCCTGCTATTTTCTAATTCAACCTCATAGGGCACAATAATGTGCTTTTACATTATACATTATAACCAGGTTAAAATTAACTCCTTACTGGGTATTTTCAGAGAACTGTTAAAACTGTGTTCCTAAGCTAATAAATGAGAAAATGAAAACCCTTTTAATGGATCATATCACAATAGTTATTTACTGGTTGGGGCTAGGGCATATGATCTTTTGATATGATAAAGTTCAAAACCTAATTAGATTATCATTATCTTAGCTGGCATAAAGTATTAAAGTATTTTTTTAAATGACATTTATCAAGTGTTAAAGAGTGATTAAACTGTATCTAAGCATGGTACCTTAATGAATGAAATGGTTAACAATAGCAGAAATACAAATCCCAGACTTTAATTTCCTTCACACAGACTCAAATGAAATATTTTGACAACGGATGAGTTCTCAAGGTCCTATTCCTATGAGTTTTAATCATATAAGTAGCCCAATGCTCCATCCAAGTCAACTGGATTAGCCAGTATGTGATAATTTGGGGAAGCTATGTAGTTTATGTGTTCTGCTGGAGGTTACTAGAAATACAGAACTGCTGGCTCTTGCATGTCTCTGAATGAGTCTACCCACCCTTGCTGATAGGCTGCATCAATCAGTCCCAGGTCAGACCCAGCAGTCACTGAACTGTAATAATCAGCTATTCAGATACCAATACCTTTTGAATCACAAATTAGCTATAGCTCAGTGTGGCTCCAACTTTTTCTTTGGGAACTGTAATTTTACAATTGGAAATTCCCAAATGAAGGGTTTTTAAAAAATATTTGCAGAAGGGGGGAAGCTCTGCAGAGCAACAAAGGAAGCTTTGGGCAGAACAGAAGAGATGGGCAGGCTTTCATAGGTAGCCCAGCTGTTTTTCTTCTAAATGCCTAACAATAAAACATTTTTTTTTAATGGCAGTATTTCTACATCAGTGGTGTCAATGCTTCTTGTCATGTAAATCATGCAATTCCAGCTTGGTGTCATTGTTTATTTTGCTTTGCATTTTATCTCTAGTTTAACACTTCTCCATATTCCGGTATTTATTTATTTGATATCTGAGTCAGAATTGAAATCTCAGTGGTAATGAAATTTATATGAAACATACTGGTAAGAATCTTGGCTTATTAAACAGCATACTTTTTATTATGTTGTAAATGCTACAATGAAACATGAGCCTTCAGGTTCCTTTTTTTTACTGTAAATGTAGCAAAGTGCACTTGAATTAGACCTTTGACACTGAGCACATAAATGCCTTTATTGATTTCATATTTGTCCTTCAATGAAGGCCATTCCAGTTCTTCCTTTAAAACACTTTTCATAAGAGCTACTGAAAAAGTGTTTACTATGGAAACCTCCAGCAGTGAAATGAAGGTGTTACACACATGGACTTCAGTAGGGCCAAGATTTCACTCTTGAAGCAAAACTCTGCTCCATGTGCTGACTTTTGCATGCTTTCTACCCTAATTTGGAAATCAGCTCAGATATGCTTAAGTAAATATACAATAATATGTACTATATTTAGCAAGAATCTTAGTACTGTTACATTTTTTGTAGCTCTGTATTGGTTTTAATGTTTGCAACAGTGGGATTGAGAACTGTATTCTTCTTGGGAGCTTAAATGGCACCTGAGCACTGCAAGGTTTTAATGGTTTTTTCTTTGTGAACTAGTGAGTGGGCAGGGAGCCAGCAGGAGCACGGGGCCCACACCGGTGTCCTGGGGCCAGTGCCAGCAGGGGTCAGAGCACGGAGGCAGGGGTACAGGGACCCAGCCGGCAGGGGCTTTATGGAGCCGGGCCACCTCCTCCCTCTCCCCACTGGTGCATCCCAGCCTGGCTCCACAGATCCCTGCCAGCCTGCGCCCCGCTCTGGGCCTCACCAATGCTGGCCCTAGGACATTGGTCCCAAGACATTGGGACTTTGGTCCCAAGATGGTGACTATGGGGCAGGGCACCTGTCAAGGGGCGGGGCTACCCATGCGGCCCTCGACATCTTGCCAAAACTGGGTAAGCAGCCCTCTGCCCAAAATAATTGCCCGCCCCTGAGCTATGAGGTATTAACCTCTTTGTCTTAGTCACATGAGAACACTAGTACTGTAATTCCATCTACCTAACGTCCTCCTATGGTTTCAATAGAAATGGTGCTCTCCTCGTGCACAGTACTTTACTATGCAATGCTAAACAAACTGCTGCATTCTGCACTAGGGGAATATACTGGGAGCAGACAGTGCCATTCATAGAAGGGCCTGACCCAGCTAGTCTTTATTTGGATAAAAATGACTGCCTATGAATACCAAATGGGCCACATCCCCATTGTGCTAGGTGTGACATAAACAGATCAGAACATACCATTTTAAACAAAACAGGTCCTGATTCAAGAAAGCACTTTAGCAGAGTAAAAATAAGCATGTGTTCTTAAGTCCCTTTTGACATGGGACAATTCATCACTGTCTTAATGAATACGTTACTGAATCAGAACTGAGATGAGAAGCCTAAGTCAGTAGAACTAATTATGGATTTTTTTAAATGCCTACTGAATTTGGCTCTTAATTTGTGAAACATGACTTCAGATGAAAGCTTTTACTATCTATGAATGTAAGGTCAGTAATTTAAAAACTGTTCTTTTTCTCCCCTCCCCCATTACTAACAGACTAGCAAGAAGATAACAGGATGGAAAATAAAGAGAAAAATGGTGAAATTAAAGAAAACCAGGTGGTGAAAAAGAAATTGGTGAGTGTGTTTTTTTTTATTTTGTTTGTTTGTACCTCCCACCCTGTCATGCCTTTTCCAGTTTCTACCTTTTGTCAAAATTAAACATTCACTATCAGTTTGGGAGTAAAGGCACAGAAGATAGCCATGAGATATTGAGAACCATGAGATCCCAATCTTTAACCACAGGCAGATTCAGATTCTGGGTTCCTCTGTAAATGGAGAAGTAATGATATTTCACTTCAGCTCCTGATGGCTTCATCCATTTAGATTGTAAGCTTTTGAAGCAGGGACTATCTTTACTGTGCACCTGCGCAGTGGTGCCTATTATATAGATAATGACTCTTGAACAGACTGAATGTGGTTTTGGTCAAATTGACTGGCAATTAAACTGCAAGAAGCAATCTCCATTCCCTGGGGGGTGCTACTACAGTTGAGGTGAATGATGGCACTCGCTTGGAGGTCCATTGGTTATAAATAGAGCTCCAGATAGATCAAAACTGAGAGTCCTTCACAAGAAATATATGGCCTATCTTAGCCTGGATTTCTTACTTCCAGAAGTGTTGCATAACACTTCTCTTCTTTCAGGCATTTAAGAAAAGAGTAAACTGAGTTTTTCTTGAACAGGGAACTAGAGAGTTGTGTGAGAGCCATAAGCAGTGCCAATAGGTTGGTTGACTTGTTTGTTGTGTTTTTACAAAGAACATAAGCCCTGTGAATAAAATGGATCAGAAAAAAAAGCATCTGGGTGCTTGCTCATGTATTTATTTTTGTCTCTCTCTCAAAAAAAAAAGGAGGGACAGGATGGATTAAGCAATTCCAGAGGCTGGATTCTTTACTTGTTTGAATCTTGTGTCACCGGTTACACCTGATCAGATCACTGTAAATTCCTACTAAAACATAAAAAAAGATTTTTCTTAGGTATAAATGACTAAACAAGGTTTCATAGTTTCATAGTTTTGTAGTTGGTAGGGTTGGAAGGGACCTGAGCAGATCATCAAGTCTGACCCCCTGCCATGGCAGGAAAGAGTACTGGGGTCAAACGACCCCAGCAAGGTGATTGTCAAGCCTCCTCTTAAAGACCCCCAGGGTAGGCACCAGCACCACTTCGCTTGGAAGTTGGTTCCAGATCCTAGCCGCCCTGACAGTGAAGTAGCGCCTCCTGATGTCTAATCTGAATTTACCCTCTGCCAGCTTGTGACCGTTATTTCTAGTCACTCCTGGTGGTGCTTGGGAAAAGAGCAAAAAATCAATCAATCAATAAATAAAATAAAATAAGACCAAACAAATCCAAACACTACCTGGCCTGTTTTGAAGCTAACACACCGACAAGCTGCCATTCATGGTTCATTTCACTCTCACCATATTTTATTGACACAAAATGCTACACACTTCATGTACGTTATAACAGAACAGGAATTCACAGTTCTGTAACAGTACTGTTTCCACTGCTGACATACTAATAGCTGTAATAAATGTAGTGACTAGGAACTTCTCCAAAATATACTCACATCTGTATTGCCATATTTTCTCACATACCATGTGCACATAAATAAGACACATTCCTTGTTTTGGGAACAGGGCAATGAAGAGAGATGGAGAGAGGGGAAGATTTTTCTAGAGTCCTGGCTGAATCCTGACTCTTGATGCTCAAACCAAGAGAAACACCCTGCTGTTTTAACATTGCCAGCAGCTTTTGGCAGCTAATTTAGCAGTGACTGTGAAAGGATCAGAACTCTAATACTGAAAACTGCACTCTGCCCCTCTCTCGCTGGCTGGGAGAGAAGGATAGTCTCAGTAACCATAACAGAATTCATATGCTTCAATTCTGGCATATAAACTAATTTTCCCACTTAAGACCACAAACCCTAATTTTGGAGGGCTGTTTTTTGGGGAAAGGGTGCCTGTGGCATGAGGGTAAATAAGCTATAGATGCTTCCCAGATTCATGATCCATTGTTTCAGGTGGACAAACAGCTGTACTCAAAAGATTTTGTTGTTTGCTTAACCCAGCTGATTACATATCTAATAATCACCATCTGTTCTAGAATAATAGCATGGGTGTATCAAGACTGTTTTGACTGTAGGACTGTAAAAACTTCCAGCTATAGTGTGGCTACTGTACCAGTGTTCCCTATATATTGAAATCTGTTTTGTATCTCTTGCTAGTTAGGACAGTTAGTGCACTTGGGTGAAATTACCTTGGCATAATTCCTTCTGCATTCAGACTCTAGGCAAAGTTCAAGGAGGTGTTTCATGTTCAACTTAACACTCAGTGGGCACATCCAGATGAGCATGAGCGTGCTTCTTGCCCCATCTCAAACCCCTTTGAGGCGGGGCAAGAGGCATGTGCGGGAATGAAAAAATGTTCCCCCCA